GTTTCCAGTTTGAGGGTAGACGTGTACTGCTTTCTAAAATCGGCCAAAAATTTGGAATTTATTCTCAAAAGAGATTTTTTGCATTTATTTACAGCGAGCCTAAATTTAGCAGCCACTGGAGTGAATACTGTGTTGCACCAAGAATTAGGAGAAGATGTTTTAAAAGCTTTTCGGCCCAGAGCAATAGTGAAAGTCGTTGAGAATCTATCAAAGAAACAACCCGGAGTGTCATTGGTTTGGATGGTATTTGAAATGTTATGGATAGTATTGTTGAGTAAAGAGGATTTCATATACTTTGCGACACGGAATGTGAGTGGGTACGAGCAATAGGATGCAAATGAAGACCAATTTCAATTAAACTGTGAGAACTACCTAAGGTGTCGTTAAGGGCCCTTCAGAGAACTAAGATTAGGTGTACAGATCAAAAGATCTATGCAGGAAATGACGGAACCAAAGGAATAGGATCGAGGAAGGGGATATGATGCTTTCAGAATTTATCGTCTTTTTAATTGGGACCGCGACAGCACTCGCAGTTTTGGGGCGCTTGATTGTCGATTGTGACAACTAAGGGAAGCTCTCTAGAGAAATTGAAAAATTATTGTTTGGATGAGCGTAAGGATTTCGAGAGAAAGACGATAAGCTGCATCTTTTTTGGAATTTGCATTTTTTTATAGGAAGGACAGCTTTTCAAATTGCATGAATGCTTACCCTTACAGTTGATATATTTTGCAGCTTGAGGACAATTCGAGGTGCATTCATGGCTTACACTACAGGAAGGACAAAAAACTTTTGATGCGAGCTAACTCTATCTGTGTGACCGAAACACCAACATTTAAGCCAGTGTAGAATCGGTTCTACATAGGTTTTGATTCGGTAATTAATGCCTTTTAAACAAATATGGGAGGGTAACATTTCCCGAAAAACTAATTCGAACTGCCTCCAAAGGTACACCAGAATTGTGTTGATCAAATATGCGGAAAGTGTCGATCAAATATATGGAAAAGCATGACTTCCCCCACTTTGCAGGTGTCAGGAAAGGGTCCGAATTTCGGTACATTCTTAGAGTAGGGCGTGGAGCAAATTTCGAGTTCGGTGAAATCCGAGGCGATGGAAACAGCCCCACCAGTTACACAGAATTCGGATGGAATATAAACGATATAAGATTTTTAAGCGAAACGTTGGTAGCAATGGAATTTGCCATAGCTGCATCAGAGGTGATCAATTTTATATTTTTTTTAGAAACTATAAACATGTCTAAGTTGATGAACAAGGAATACTTAGTTCTGGTGTGCGCATAAGCTCTGGGGATTTGAATGTCCCCACTTTCGAGAGAAATAGAGCGGTCATTTAGCTAAACCGTATTTCACAGATTGAGTTTTGAAGTCCCAGAGATAATAAACAGCCAAATTAGGAAAACTTAGAGTGGAGTCGGAGTGTGTAATGACGTTCCTTTTCTTAACTTTTTACTTTATTGTTTTTTTTTATAATTAGCAATATTCCAAAGAATTATATAACGATTTTTTATTGAATTAAATCTTCTTGAAATTTAATTTTTTTTAGTTATTACTTTTTTTCACGGAGAAGAACTTCTATCACACGTGTTGACAATGCAAATTTTCGTAATTTTCGTTTCATCGTTTATAATATATCAATTCATATTAAAGAATTATCAATTTTATATTCGTCAAATATGCCTCAACCAGTCTTAGTGGAAAGTTTTTATAGGATTATGAAGACATTTCCCATGATTAAAAAAGTTATATTATGCAAATAATTTATGTATTTAATCTGCTCAAGCTCATTTGTCATTCTTAAACCTTCACTAAGACTTTTCAAATTAAATGTCACGTTTCCAGTGCTTGTCGAAGCCTCTTCTTCAATGGGCTGTGAGTTTAACATTTCCTCCAAGTTGGTTTCAGTCAAATCTTCATCTTGCGATTCAATCAATTCCTGAATATCACTTGATTCTATGTGTCCGAAACCATCTTGTCCTATTCCATTCGCGATTTCGGCTAAGTTTGCAGTCAAAGTTTGAATTCGCACAGATTCTTCGTCATTTTCCGCAATCAAAGCAGACCACAGTTTCTTCCAGCATGATTTCAATTTGTGTGGCTCCAGTTCTTCCAATGATTCTTTTAGGCTTACGATGCATTTTGCTATGTCAAATTTCTTCCAGCATTCCATAATATTCATATCAGGATTACATTATTATCCAATATGATTTCGAAGGTTCGTGTAATGTACTAGATCTTAAAGGCCTGGATTATTCCTTGGTCCATAGGTTGAAGCAAAGCCGTCTTGTTGGGAGGTAAAATTGTCGCTTTTATATTTGGATGCATAGTTTCAAGTTCGCGAGGATGACCTGGTGCATTGTCCAAAACAAGAAGTCCTTTAAAGTCTAAATTCAGTTTTTTTAAATAAATTTCAACTTCAGAAACAAAACAATTCCAGAACCAGTCACAAAAAATCCGCGAATAAAAAAATTTATAGCCGCGAAAATGGGAATTGAGTCGCACTATTTTCATTCGCAAATAATGAAACCGCGAATAAAGGAAGCGCGAATAAGGAGCTTTTACTGTAATCTTATTGAAGGGTTAAATGTTTTGAGATTAAGAAAGGAGGTTGCTGAGATATTTCATCACGATGCGGTATCTTCAAATAATAGAAGAATTTAAGACAGCATAAGGTGAAAGCATAGTGGATATTTTAAAATTATGTAAGGGGACAATTATTGCTCCGCCAAATAAATTATATCAGAATGTCCGGGAAATTGCCATCGTCGATAGGATATAACGTGTATCCGTCAGTTTACGAAATAATGGCAATGATAGATTTTGCGATTGGACTATTGGCTGGCAAAAAGATATAGCAGACAACATAAATGAGACGACCAAAAAAGAACTTGCGAACTTATACCCCTTGGACATAATTAACAAAGTATGTGGTCAGGACATCGATGCCAATATTAATATACAAAAAAATTATGTTAATATTGACAGCGAAGGCAAAGAAATTTGAAGTATCTATAACAAAGTAAGCAGAACAATAAATCCAACGAGGTTTTGTAGCATATATTGTACAACGAAGTTATGGTGCGCAGGCCTGAAATATGTGCTATGGAAACAACCGTGGCCAGTAGAAATGCAACACGCCTTGCACAATACCTTATGATTGTTATACAAATTTAAATAAAGTATACTAAATATATGTACAAACATTTCTATTTGACAAGTGTTAGTGTAAATACAAGATTACTTGGAAGGTTGCGATCATAAGAAGTTTGACACCAAATACATATAAGTTTTTTATTTTCGACGTACACATCCATTTGCTTTTATATGTTCCATGTGAATTTCATGTTTGCAGATATTACAGTTATGTGTCTTCTTCACAAGATTGTGCTTGTGCGAATACTTCGTCCGACTTAATTATATATCAAAGAATTTCTGTCTTTAACAAATTAAAATTAATGTTGCTCAAAGCATCATTATAATAACTTTTCACAATATAAATTGGTACGTGATTTCGCGATTTCTTTCCACATTTTGACTTATATGCGTATAGTTAACATGTGCTTAATGTAAACCCAAAAGAAAAAGCCACATCAGATGAAAATTTAAAGCCTTTATAAAACAAGTAAGTGAATGAATTAGAGTCAGCGCGCAATACTGTGTCTTCTTTGTTAGTATAGCTCTATCTGGCGGCATTGTTCCCGACCAACAAAGTTAGGATATTAGGAACCAATTCATACTAAAAGGTTGTTCAGAATTTACAGGTGATATTTCTGGGTAAAGCCCTCAAATCGCTCATTTAAATATGATATTTTATTATAAAACACCAAAAAAATTAATTGGGTAAATTTAAAAAGTTTAACTTTTTAAGTCAACCGTGAGCATGAACTTAGAGAATTGGGAATCAACCACAATTAACTTTCCGGCTTATATTTTCCTTATATTAGAAGTCATTCAATAAACGTGCTGATATGTGTCAAAGATAATAACTGTAGGACCTAGTTATGTCAATTTTTTATCGCCTTTTCGAGCTAAACAATAAATAATATTTCAAACAAATATTTAATGGTTTCGAATTTTTTTTTCGTTTCAGGTATTAGCATTGAATGAATTTAAACACTCTTACTATTCTCTACCCTTTCTATGTGAATCCACGCTTAATATAATTGCCAATTTTTATTTAATTTGCTTTATTTAGTTTTATTCAAATTTATTTAAATAACAAATTTATTTAAATAAAAAAATAGTAGCTTAGTAGGAATTGTTTCAATGCCACAGTTTTGCGAAAGCCTTCGATATTTTATCCGTTCACTCCGTTCACCAATTATAATCTTCAGAAATGTTATAATTGAAGTCACCACAAACTAAGATTTTCTTGTAATTAGAAATTAACATACATAGTTGAAATGAGTGCAATCTGAGTACTGCGAAAAGCAAAAAAGTTAGCTTGTTTCTTTGCTGATTGCCTGAACCTGTTTACTAATGTAGATGTCTTCTGAAGTGGAAATGTCGCTGTATAAAAAAATGTTCAGAAAACTAATGATTTTTGGCTTAATAGATGTTGAGAATCTTCGAGAATAATTGAAGTTTCCTCAATTTTGGGATTGCAAAATCTAGTATAAATCAATAGAAAACTTATTATAATAACCCAACGTTTTTATTATATATTTCAAATCTATTCTATTTTTCTTAAAATACGATTCTTGAAATCGGCAAACAGCACAACTTCACCCACGCATATTACGTTCCTTAGACATTATAAAAATGGCCCCAACCGGATATTGTTATAAACATATTATGTAAATACTAATTGAGAATATATATAAGTTAGAAAATGTGAATCGAATTATGTATGACCTTACATATAATCTTTTATGCAAATGTACTGTTCGTCCCAAGTCGAATACATCTTTTTCAGTTATTCCTTCTACTTTTTTTTTTGTTTGAGTATAGATAAATCATAATTAGAAGGATTATATTAAATTTCAGATCCGTATGTGAAAGTCTGGTTACAGTTTGGAGAAAAGCGCATTGAAAAGCGTAAAACACCTATTTTTAATTGCACGCTAAATCCAGTCTTCAATGAGTCATTCAGCTTTAATGTACCCTGGGAAAAAATAAGAGAATGTTCTTTGGATGTTATGGTCATGGATTTTGATAATATTGGACGAAATGAGTTAATTGGACGAATTTTGTTAGCTGGTAAGTGTTCTACCAATACTAATTTTCACTTATTATGGTGATAAAACAGAACGACCTACAAAATTATATAACAAATGTTAATCGCCTGCGCTTTTAAGACTTATTTTGTTTGCATCTAATTTTTAATTGAATTCCAATTGTTGCCGGACTAACAGAAAACGATGATCAAAAAAGAAAATAGTAAATAATTATATTAACAAATCCAGTTTGATCACGAATTAAAATATAACATATTCGTGTAGGTATGCCGGTCGCCCACATATTCAACATACAAAATACCGGCTATTAAGTGCTTTATGGGCCATTATTATTAGAGACAGATTTGAAGCTACGTCACATAGTAAACACACAAGTCATATTACATAGTCAATTTGCAAAATGTTCCTCATAAATAAATTTTCAGTTATTATGTAGAACCGTGCAATTGGATGTTAAAGTACATTGTGTAGTTAATTAAAATTTTCAAAACCATATTTTTTATGTAATTATTAAGAAATTGATAAGTGTGAAACATTTAGTATTGAAGCAAATGTGACGTTTAAATATTTTTATTTTACACAAACATTAAAACTCACACATTAAAATGTTTTAAAATTTAAAATGTGTTAATTTCTTCTCAAAAATATGGTATCTAATTCATACAATTTGCTGCATCCATCAATCAATGAATTAAAACCCCTTTTAATGCCTAAATTTATTAATGAATTTAAGAAATTTGATTTCTCCATAGAAAAAAGCTTTATTCTGATACGAAGCATAATAATTTTATGAGACTTATGAGTCCCATAAATGATGTCGTATGCGACATAACAACATAGCTATTTACACGATATTTTTTTTAAAAGTAAAACTTGGTTTTAATGGCAATTATACGTTTTATAACAATAACGACCAAACAATATACCCTATTGACTGGGTTGTGGATAGGGAGCGGTTTTACTTTTTTTTCTCTAGTGCCCGTATTAGTTCACTATTAATTTTTATTTTCTCTTTTAACTATATATTATTAGCATTAAACTGTAAATTTCAATTTCTTGCGGATTTCCATTAATTTGGATTTTTGGTTTGTAATGTTCAGACGGACAACTCTGGTATTAGTAAAATAATACGTAGTATACTTGCAGTTTAAATTTGAATTTTCAGATTTGGACAGGAATTGCCAAATTCCAAATTATGCAGTTAATATCGAGCAGCAGAGGAAGGCCTTCAAAATTTTTATAATCTCGAAATGTTAAAAGGAATAAGATTAATAAGTTTTAAACTAATCTGATTAAAAAAAGATAAAATATAACCACCGTTGATCGTTAATAGCTTTTAGTAGTCTATATGCGGAGGTGGCAATCTATCTTAGCACGCGTTGCATTTTGCTATTTATCATTTTTGGTATCCAGAAAATTTGTGTTTTTTTTCGGAGAAATATGTGAGAGTCATCCGTGTGAGTAGCCGAGTAGACAAAGGATCGCGACTAAAAAATCAATGGGCGTGGGTTCAAATCTCAAATGCGATAGAGTTTACAGTACAAGCGAGCATACGATCTAAGTTACGCGGAAACTTTTACATCCATACTTTGTAGGTTTATTTGTAAAACATATATACAATAAATAAATAAATATTTGCGAGTCAAATTGTCAGTGATATCTTTTTCTGGGTTCTCTAAAAACACTTCCTAAAGTAGTTCTTCCTTTACTTAGGATAAATGTATTAAGTTTGTGCATATATACGCAACATCCAGAATTAATATACCAGTCTATATACCAGTCTATACACCAGTCAATATACCAGTCTATGTACCAGTCAATATACCAATTCTAAGTTAATTTAACCCTGTCTACAGGTTTGAATAATCGAACGCCATAGAAAATTAATTCGACTATTTAAAGAACCCTTGCCGTATAAGGCCGCATTTTGAAAACCTCGTTACGTGAATAAAAGCTTTCCATACTTAATATTTGTTCACTTTCATTACGAAGACAGATGAAGAATTGTATTTGACAAAATGGCGTGCGTTATTTAATAGATAACAACATTTTAATTTTTATGTTTATAATTACTGAATACTAAGACTCCCTTCTTTGCAGCAAAGATTTATTTGTTTATTTATTATTATCTGTGCAGCAACAATAAAATATCAACCGCATAAGGTAGACGCTTAAACATATATCTTAAGCTAAACCTTAAAACTTAACTTTTACAAAGTGTTATAAAAAGTGAAGAAACACCAAAATATCTGTATACAACTATACGTACATAAAAAAAGTAAAGAGAAGAAATTATTGTTATTATTGCTAAGTTAGCCAGAGAATAAATTTTAAAACTAAAGCCTTAAAGCACTACCAACTAAGGCTTTCGGCTTTATTGAAAACTCGACCGCACTTGATATTTGAACCCACGAACCGGCGATTCTTTGTCTACTCGGCTATTCATGCGGATGACTCTCAAGAGAAAAAAAAATATAATAAAATAAAAAAGAAAAGAAAAATAAGCCTGCATATTTCTGGCATAACGGCAGATTGATGCCTGCTATATTTCGAGTTAATAGTAAAACTCGAAACTTATGCAAATATGCAAAAGTTTGGCAACGACGGGAAGGGAAGTTGAAAGGCATGCTGAAATGGAGAAAGAAACGATCAAACACCGAAGACAACGCGATAAATAACGATTCGCCCAACCGGTAGAAGCCATAATTTGAAAACACCTCTGTATTTCTCCAAAAAATGTCTATTTCCAAATTTATATCTTGGAGTAAAAAAGCTAATTTTCGATCATCAGAGAAAAATGCTCGAGCTTCAGAGCGAGATTACAAAACATTTCATCGATCGTCACGCAGCTCACTAGCGCATGGTTTAAAAATCTATAATGGGATGTTATCAAGCTCTCGCGGGCAACTGTACTTTAATGATCTTAAACTTTGTAGTAAGTCCCGCTCACAACAATCAAGCTATAGATCGAAACCGAGTTGATTTTTTGGTGCGAGTAGTTACTAGTAGAATCGAAGCTACCAGTAGAAAAATTAAGTTGAAAGTAGCCGGCAAGTAGATTCGAGATTCCTTGATCATCAAACAAAAAAAAGGTATCAATAAAAGGTATCGATGCAGAGAATATGGAAAAACTTTTTAAGGTTAACCCATTTATAAAAATGTTTTGAATTAATAAGTATCTACAGTAGTTCTGGTGTGGTTGTCGAGATTACGTTTTCCCCTCGCCCTAGATAATTTGAAGCAGTCATATGCAGACGCGCTTTTTATATATTTTTTAAAGTTTTTTGTTATTCTTATAGTAGCTAAGTATTCTACTGAACCATGTTGGATACGTTCTTGCAACGGAGTGTTGTGCAGTCGAAACAAAGCTAAGTTTACTACGTTAAAAAAAGAAGGTATTACAATTTTGGCGTTCTCACGACAGAAATAAAGGCTAGTGTTTTATAATAGAGTTTTCACAAATAAAATGCTGGTTTTACTAAAGCCTTCTTCTGGATTTGAGAAACAAAATCTAGCATATTAAGCTGGTTCTTTGAGCTAGCGTGCTTGTAATGGAAGGATAAGCATAAGGGTAAACAACGATTTACAACTTTTTCAGAAACAGCTGAAGGCGGATGAGCTCTCCGAACGGAAGGACTAGACGCCACCCTACATTTCGCAGCAAAGTGGAACAGTCTAGATAGGAACACTCATAAAACAATGTCTTACATTTTTCAAATTTGCGAGACAACACCATGATTTACTTACTTATTTCAGACAAACCCATTCTTGTTTTCATAAAAAGCCGACGAAAGTCTATCTCCCGCTTATGCATGTCAATATATGTTTACACCTATAATCTATAACCATTCAGTTTTATGAACATGGGATGAACGCCTCCTATTGAATGGGCAAAACCAAGTAAAAGTTGGCAATCAATTATTTGACATCTAAAGATTTCGGAATAGATGTTCTTTAATTGTATTATTCGATTTCGATATAGAGATTAAATGATAAACGTTATTAAAGTTATTATAAAGAGCACAAAAGGGATAAAATAGCTCATAACTTAATTTACCTTGGTTAAGTTTAGTTAAGATTGACGAGGTCCGTGGCGAAGGCCACGAGGCCTCCATATACTTTTTCGAAAAAAAAGGTTTTTTTTTTTTAATAGATACTGAAAAATTTAAGCTGCTTGCTTAAGCGCTGCGACAAGAATTCCTGTGTCAAGCCAATGTTTCTTGGAAACTGTCAGCCTAATATCTTGCCGGTTTATTTTCAATTCCTGCTTATGTTCATTTGAAAACATTTCCAAAAAAATCCATTAGTAAAGCTTCCAAAAACGAATATATGCGGTATATGTCTAAATTTTATATGCGGTTACTTCAAAAAACAATTTTTGAAAACTCACGTAGCGTAATTCAAACAAGTCTCATTTTGGCTTTAAATTTTTACTGTGTCCCTCCCTACTTCCATCCAAAAAAAATTGTCACACCATTTTCTTAGGTTGCTAAAATGGTGTTGCCCTCTAATGTTAACTTCATTTAATAAGACCGTCACATCAATTCGAGTGTTTAGCGAAAAGGCGACACCTAAGATATACCTGCGCTTTTCAAGGCGAAGATACGTCGATTAGTCTAAACCTATGTTCATATGGCGAAAAAGAGGGGATGAAATCTCAACCAATATTACCCCGCGCACATGGTAAAAACTTTTTCTGGATGAACTTCCTTGAGTCAATATAGCATAGATAACTAGGGAAACAAACTAATGAAGCATATTCAAAACCGGGTCTCACAGCACTTATTATAATCGTTTGTCAAATTTCTTCCAGCATCGCTCAGTAAAGCTCAGCATGGAGAATCTTTTCCATAATTAAGTTTCTTTCCTGTAAAAATTCAAAGAGTTATAAAATAAAAACTTTAAGATTCTTGACGGATTGTCAGCTTAGAGTTTGGAAATACGTAACATTAAGGAAGGTGATAAAGAGGTTTATTAAATTTATTTTGAACATCATTTTTATGATTCCAATGTTACCGCAAT